TGTTACCCTACTGTCCACCACAGTGATCCGATGTATGTGTGTTTCTATGTAAGTTAAAGACTGTGGTATCAAATGTTTACACTTTATAATTTGTTACAGTTTAATACTTCTAAGATGTTATAGTATTCCATTATATTACTGTGATGTTCGTTTACTTATTATTATTGTTATTATATATATTTTTTTATCTTTTTGTGCATGTATACTAAGCTTTGGCAATATTGTATCATTTACAGTCATGCCAATAAAGCAGTTTTGAATTGAATTGACAGACAGACAGACAGATAGACAGAAAGACAGACAGACATATAGACAGACAGACAGACAGACAGAAAGACATATAGATAGATAGATAGATAGATAGAACTAACTTAGTTTTGTAGAGGTGCATGATGCCGTGGACGATCTCCACTGACGGGTTTCCGCTGAAGAAGGAGATCTGATCCGGCAGCTGTTTGGAGGGAGAGTCTGGAGTCCCGCTCACGTCCGTTTGCTCTTTAGCTTCTCCGTTTCCGTCATCTGTGGACTTCAGATCTTCTTTACCGTCCTCAACTCCTGATGGAAAAAACAGTCTGTTTACTCCTCACTGGGCAAACGGCTGTCAAATCAAAGAGAGTAACTGCGCTGCAGACCTGCGCTGGGCTGGAAGGTCTCGATCACCATGTCGCTCATGACGCGGCTGCCCAGGTGCTGGTGGAGGACGGCCGCTCGCTCCAGCTCCGGTTTACCGGCCAGCGTCGCTCTAGCGGAGGCCAGCGCTTTCTCTCTCATCTCGTCCTCTGACATCTCTGAAACTGTGGGATGCAGGAGATGTGAGCTGTGACACCAGGCCTCAACATAAAGGCCTCAAAGAGATTCTAGAAACAAGCTGAGTGTGTGAATGCTCTCTGTTAACACAAACCCAGACCATCACCACATTTAACATAATGTCTCATGCTTCTCTGCTATACTTTCAGCTCAGGTCAGTGACTCTACTGCTACTGATACACTGAATTATTCTAATTATCCAGTTTATAACTATACTTTTTATCTCACACTGTATTTGTTTTCGTTACCCTGTTTGTTCTAATGGGTCCCAGATTTTTTTTTTATTATTATTATTGTTGTTTTTGTTCTTTTTTTATTATTATTTTATTGATTATCCAGTTTATGATTACTTTTTCACACTGGATTTGTTTTTGTTATACTCTCTGTACTACTGAGTCTCAGAAAAAATATAATAATGATAATTATTATTATTATTTTATTAATTATCCAGTTTATGATTACTTTTATCCTGTTTGTTCTAATGGGTCCCAGAAAAATATAATAATAAATAATGATAAAACATAATACAAAATAATTATATTATTTATTATTATTTGAATGATTATCCAGTTTATGATGACTTTTTTTCACATTGTATTTGTTTTAATGAATTGCCTCAATGTTGTGTCTTCTGTTTATCAAGCTCTGTAACCTTGGGTCCCAGAAAAAATATAATAATAATTATTATTATTATTATAAACACTTATTATTATAATTTTTTTCTATATATGAAAATCAAGTAATGCATATGCATGTATGATTACCCTTATCAGAAGGTAATATTATGGTATTTTCATATGTCACTGTATGAAGTTATAAGAACATTAATATTTACATGGCCGTTCAAAGTACTTCAAAACAATATGAATCTATCATCTCTCAGTGAAACTCACCGGCGCAGTACTGAAAGCCGTGCGGAGACTCAGACTGATCAGCGAGCTCGAGTCTGATCACAACCAGAGACACACTCATGTGTTCAGAGCACACACACACCACTCAATAACACAGATTCACACCAAAGATCGTGTCATCCGAACCATATGCCATAAACGCTGAACAGAATTACATTCAACGAGTATTAGAAGGGAAACGCGTTAAACAACAACGACGTCTGAGAATGAAAGATACATTACTGCCTTACTTCCGGGAACGAGAATAATTTCAAAATAAAAGTCCTTAGTCATAGTTAATAATAAGAGACTTTCAAAGCCGCTGTTTGTGAATAATATAATGGTCAGTGTTACGCATTACAAGTAACGCGAGTTACGTAATCAGATTACTTTTTTCAAGTAACTAGAAAAGTAACGCATTACTTTTTAATTTACAAGAGAATATCCGAGTTACTTTTTCAGATAAGTAACGCAGGTTACTTTTTTTTCTCTCAATTGATTGATTGGCAGCTCTCCTGTCTCCATGCTGAGAGAAATCAGAAGATGTTACTGTAGCTCTAAAATAAATATGAATATGCATGAATTCATCTTACTCGCACAAAAAAAACCACACAGATTCAGTATTCCTCAAAATGAATAAAAATAATGCAACTCAGAATATGATGCAAACCTGCAATAATTAAATGTTAAACAACACAAATATCCTTTATGTATTTAATCCCATTCTATTAACTAATGTCTTTGCTTCTGACCTTCGATGATCCAGTTCAAGCGTACTAATAAGCACAAATTACTCTAGACAAACATTTGTGTCTTTGTTTATTGCTGAAGTGTGTTGATATTTCTTCTGCATTCTACTGTACGCACGTACATTTACTTTCCCTTCAGCCTGAGGCGCATTCATTTCACTTTTGGTGTGAAAAGGCTTTTATATTTGCCAAAAATAGAACTTTTTTATTTTAAAAACAAACAAGCAAGCCCTGTCCAGATTTAAAAAGTAACGTAACGCATTACTTTCCATAAAAAGTAACTAAGTAACGTAATTAGTTACTTTTTTATGGAGTAACGCGACAAATGCTTTTAAAAGTAACTTTCCCCAAGACTGATAATGGTAATATAGTTTGAGTCACAAACACCATGGTATTTTTTTTATCATATTCTAATTACCAATGAGTGCACCTCTAAAGAAGACCCCTCTGTCAAGCTCCTGAAGTTCACAGATGACACCACTCTCATCAGCCTCATCCAGGACAGAGACGAGTCTGCTTACAGACAGGAGGTTAAAGAGCTGGCTGTCTGGTGCAGTTATAACAGCCAGGAGCCGAACACACTCAAAACAGTGGCGATGATAGTGGACTTCTGGAGGAAACTCCTGCACTCTGACCTCTCACCGTCATGGACAGCACTGTACAGTAGAGTCATTCAGGTTCCTGGGCGCCATCATCTCTCAGGACCTGAAGTGGGACATTCACATTGACTGTAAAGAAGTCCCAGCAGAGGCTGTACTCCTTTCGCCAGCTGAGGACGTTCAACCTACCACTGATACAGTTCTACTCTGCAGTCACTGAATCTGTCCTCTGCACTTCTGTAACTGTCTGCTTCAGCTCAGCTACCAAATCTGACCTCAGAAGACTACAGAGGGTAGTCGGGACTGCTGAGCGAATCACTGGCACAACCCTCCCTTCTCTCCAAGAACGGCACTCATCCAGAGTGAGCAAAAGAGCTGGTAAAATCACTCTGGACCCCTCACACCCGGGCCACTTCCTCTTTGAACTGTTGCCATCTGGTCGACGCTACAGAGCACCAAGATCATAAGATCAGTTTCTTCCCTCAAGCAATCCATCTCATGATGAAACATGCAATACACAACAATATTTATTCATTATTTATTTATCTTTTTAGATTTCCCTGCATTTGTACATAACACACCTGTACACACAAATACCATCTATTGTTTAATTTGTATATTGTGAATTTGTTTTTAAATATTTTTTTGCATATTGTTATTTCCTATTGACTTATTCTATTTTTATTCTTGTCTTGTCACTGTCATTCTGTTTGTGCTGTGGAAGCTTCTGTCACCAAAACTAATTCCTCATATGTGTAAACATACCTTGCAATAAAGCTCTTTCTGATTGTGATTATTATAATCAATATAATTATTATATTCATTATATTATATAATATTTGACATTATATTCTATTTCCAAGTATACACACATTTATTGCTTACACTCAAAGAAACTTGGTGAAGTAAAATTAAAATTAAATAATATACAATTTATAATAAAATAATAAAAAACAACAGATAATAAAATTACACACAAACTAGATAAATATGTATGTACACAATTATCTATATACAGATAGAATTATGCAAGAATTATGTATATATATTTATATATATATAAACAAGATTTAATAGAAAACATAAGTCGACATCATTTTAAAGTCAGTTTAATTTTTAGAATTTAGAAGCAACAACAGCATACAGCACTACATGATTTAAGTATTGAAAATAAAGATATTTATAAAATACATTTTATTATTATTAAAATAACAATTATTAAAAAAAAAAAGAATAAGCAACATACGTTACAAACGTTCTAAAAATGTTTAGTGGGACTTACAGTGAAAACAACGCCCACAACATGCTCACATCTGAGTGTGAGTGTAAATTCTCTCCAGATCATGACTCTGATCTATGATGGTGTGAGCTGTAAAAGTGCTGCTATATTTGCATACTGAGCCACAGTGACAGACCACTGAACATTTTCTTGGTGACTCTAAACTGCCGGCTCAAACTCCACCCTGGTGAACTCCCAACTGTCTGTGACAGCAGCTCACATTAACCTCCAACGTGAGTTAGTCGTCTGGGCTGGTTTATGCATTACAAATCCTCGTCAAATCCCCCAGAGTGATTCAGATAAAAGACTTTAAATAAGCATTCTACTGCTTACGTAAGCAAACAAACACAGATTATACATTCTATTAGTTCTCTTGAGTAATAGAGTTTCCTTATAGAATAAAAACAAAGCCTTGTGTGTTCACCATCCTCCACAATACTTCAACAATTTCAATCAATTTCCCAGTTCGTTGTCTGAATCAATTGACGTACAACGTAGTGCAAACAGACTATTTTTATGCACAAAGGTGCACCAGAAGGTCTGTTTCTTCAATGTATGTGATGGAGGGAGGTGTGGCTTGCACGAGAGGAAGGTCAGACAGGAGGAGGAGCTGCAAACGTTTGCCTGTTAATGTTCATCTGGCTGTGAGGAAGTCACCTCCTCTTCTCTCCTCTCCTCATCAGCCAGGCTTCTAGAGGAATCTGATGTTTCAAAACCACATGCCAAAGGTAAGCCAACTTTAGTTTTGTAATACATACTCTGTTGGGCCTTCTCAAGTTTTGCATTTGTCTTCCTGTACATTTTTCTGTTGCATCTGATAAAGTCTTACTTAACTTCCCTCATCTGAGCTAAACCACTGTACAGTTTAAGCTGGTGGGAGACTTCAGACTTGCAGTCTGATCACGCACACTCATGATTTAACAGGCCACTTTTATTGCTCTTGGTCTCCAAAAAGGGGTGTGTGAAAAGAGATTTCCAGGAAGGAAACCATATCTGCTTTGGCAGAGGGGCTCGTGAAGGAAAGGCAGAATGTGTGGAATGTTGAACGTACCTTTTGCAAAGAAACTGTGTTTAAATGCACCTCGGACCTTTTGAGCAGCTTTCACAAGAGTTTCAGGGTCATTTCTTTTTGTTTGTAGCAAATAGGCTTCATGTTTCTGATTCCATTTCATTGTCGGGGAAAACGGAGAGGACTCTTAGGAGCAGGAATTGTTATTTTTGTCATTTGATACTTGATGGTCAGACAATACGTGCATTGCTTTTGTTGAAACTGAGCTCTTTAGTTTTCTGTTGAAGTGAAACTTGTTTAAATGGAGTATCATTTGCTTGTGTATAGTTTTAGAAGGCAGTCTTTCGGCCTGCAGGCCTGTTGAATACAGCTTGAAAACAGTGAATGACGTTGCCACAACATGCTTCCATTCTTGCTGTTTTGTGGCAATTGCAAACTACACCACACTGCAGCGTGCATCACAAAGTAATGGTTGAGTTTATGATGCACGCTGTTTACATCATGAGTCATCACTTACTGAGGAGTTAGTCAGGGTCATTTAGGACAGAAAACGTGCTCACTTTGTGGTGAGCATGCTAAACGAAACATGCAAGAAGCAGAAATGTACAATGCTCATTTCATTTGTGCCAAGTTTGGTCTTGCCCCAATGTAATCGGTCAGTCTGCTGAAAAAAAGAGAGACTGCATTTGGAACAAAAAAATTGGTACACAAATAGAACTTGAAACTGAACTTTTATCAAATTATGCATGTCTATAATGACGTCTCATTGATTATTTAAATGCACATGCCTCTTTTCTTGCTTTCAGCATTAGCTATTTTTTTTACGATGGCAAATGCATCAAAATAAAGGTGCAACATGCATCACAAAGCAGAGGTTGAGTTTATGAAGCATGCTGTTTACAACATGAGTCATCATGTACCAAAGGCCTTTTCAGGGTCATTCAGGACAGAAAATGCGCTCACTTTGAGGTGGGTATGCTAAACGAAACATGCAAGAAGCAGAAATATCCAATATTCACTTATTCACTTAAGTTTGGTCCTGATCCAATGCAACTGGCCCGGCCACTGAAAAAACAGATTGCATTTGCACTTTGGTGTTGCTAATCATGCATGTCTATAATAACCTCATGCTGTTCGATTATCTGAATGCATATGCTTCCATTCTTGCTTTCAGTAGTTGTTTTGTGGAAAAAGCAAACTATCAAATGCACCAAAATAAAGGTGCAACAAGCATCACAAAGGAGAAGTTGAATTTATGATGCATGCAGTTTACAACATACGTCATTCAGGGTCATTCATGACAGAAAATGGGCTCACTTTGTGGTGAGCATGCTAAACGAAACATACAAGAAGCAGAAAGATCCAATTCCAACCAGACTGGATTTGCACTTTGGTGCTGCTAATCATGCATGTGTGTAATGACCTCATGCTGTTTGTTATCTAAATGCATATGCCTTCATTCTTGCTTTCTGCATTAGTTGTTTTTTTGGCAAATGCAAACTGTCACCAAAATAAAGGTGTGACATGCATCACAAAGGAGAAGTTGAGTTTATGATGCATGCTGCTTACAACATCAGTCATGTTGTAAGGCTTTTTCAGGCTCATTCATGACAGAAAATGCGCTCACTTTGATGTGAACATGCTTAAAGGAACATGCAAGAAGCAGAAATATCCAGTACTCATTTATTTTGTGCCAAGTTTGGTCCTGCCCCAATGCAACTGGCCAGGTCGCTGAAAAAAACTGATTGCATTTGCACTTTGGCACTGCTAATCATGCATGTCTATAATGACCTCTCGCTGTTCGTTATCTGAATGCATATGCCTCCATTCTTGCTTTCAGGATTTGCTGTTTTATGGAAAAAGCAAACTGTTAAATGCACCAAAATAAAAGGTGCGACGTGTCACAAAAGAAAAGCTGAATTTATGATGCATGCTGTTTACAACATCTGTCATCTTGCACCAAAGGCTTTTTAAGGGCCATTGAGGACAGAAAATTTGCTCATTTTGAGGTTAGCATGCTAAACAAAACATACAAGAACACTTAAAGGTTCCAAAGGCATTTTGCAATGATACCATAGAACAGGACTGTCCAAACCTGTTCCTTGTGAGCCACTGTTCAGCAGAGTTTAGCTCTAACCAGAATAAACACACTTTAACCAAGGTCTTCAGACTTGCTAGAAGTGTGTTGGAGCTAAACTCTGCAGGACTTGGCCTTCCAACCCATTTTTGGGTTCCCCAAAGAACGTTTCAGAAACAGTTCCATTTATTTCTTAGTTTGAAGAACATTTTAATCACCTAAAGAACCTTTTTCCACTAAAAAAGAACTTTTTGTGCAATGGAAAGGTTCCATGGATGTTGAAGGTTCTTCATGGAACCATCAATGCCAATAAAGAACCTTAATTTTAAAAGAGTGAAAATAAATTTTAATCTAAATCTAAAGAACCTTTCTCTACTAGAAGAAACCTTTTGTCCACTGGAAAGATTCCATGGAATTTTAAAGAACCTTTAGCAGCAGAAACATCCAATTAATTCTGTGCCATTTTTTGAGCAAAAATATCAAACAAAAAGTTGTCAAAACAAGTTTCAAGCACTCAAGTTTCAAGTTTCACACCATTTGTTATTGCTACCATTCCCCTGCTAGAAAACCCTGCAGAAACTTGTTGGCTAAAAGATGGTGGCTAGATTTTGAAATACAGTTGTTATTTCTTCGTTTACAACATGGTGATTACTCAAACTCATATGGTCTTTCTCATATTGTTTTATTTCGTCATTGCTTTCCACAGATGGGAGAACAAGACCCCAGTGACAGGCTGAGAGGAGACCAGCCGAAAGAGACGAAGGAAAATGGCACGGGAAGTTTCTCCCAGTTCTCCTCAAGCGTACGAACCATGGTGCGCATTCGCCAGAAGTACCAGGCCATGAAGAAACGGCGTCTTGAGATAGCAGCGGTGTCGTCCCAGAGCTTCATGTCTCCACGGTCCACCAGCCCAAAGTTTTTCACCTTTGAAAATCTTCAAGACACCATAAACTCTAACCCCGCTTCCCCACGCAAGCGGAAGAAAAAGAGGAAGGCACGGGTTTTGTATCCGAGCAGCATTTTGAGAGCCGTACCCACAAAAGAGAGAAGCCGTGCAAAGAACTGCCTCTACTTGCTGTGCATCATCGTATTTCTACAAATTTACAACGCCATTGAGAACTTAGACGACCATGTGCTTAAATATGATTTAGACGGACTGGAGAAAACCCTTAAAAGGGAAGTGTTTGGCCAACAAGAAGTTGCAGAGAGCCTTCTGGGTCATTTACATGATTATTTGTCAACTTATGTACACAATAAACCTTTAGTGTTGTCGCTTCACGGACCTACTGGAGTTGGGAAGAGCCACGTTGGCCGATTACTGGCTCAGCATTTCAGCTCGGTTGTTGGCGAGGGCTTGGTGATGCAGTACTTCGTTCTGCACCATTGCCCAACAGACGACGATATCCCACAATGCATCAAATCTCTGGACTCTCACATCTCTGAAATGGTCACTCAGGCTGAGGAAGAGGAGAAGATACCGGTCTTTATCTTCGATGAAGTGGAGCACATGCCCAGGGAGTTGCTGGACACATTGCAAGACCTGATTCATCCCAAAAACAACAACGAATACTTAAACGCCATCTACATTCTCATCAGCAACTTGGGACATGAAGACATCACCAAGTTCGTTCTGCACAACTCCAGCGTTGCCGTCTCAGGCCGTCTGAGCTTGAGTCAGGAGCTGAACCCTTGGTTGCGTAGCTACGTTGAAAGATACCACATGCTATTTTTGGAGGCAGAGCTCCTGCCCTTTATGCTTTTGGAGAAGAGCCACGTAATGGATTGTTTTATTGATGAAATGTCCAGGGAAGGATTCTACCCAGATCGATCCCATGTAGAAAGACTTGCGGAAGAACTATCATACTATATAATTGGCGAACGGGAATTTTCTCACACTGGATGCAGGCAGGTTGTGGCAAAAGTGAACCTTCTTTGAAACAAAATCTGCCGTGCAGATGGACAACGTGAGGAAAACATTATTAGTGCCATGAGGATGACCATTTTGAAAAATTGTTGTACAGTTGTACATAACATTTGTAAAAACAGAGGTATACAATACCGTAAAGTTTGGGGTCGGTAAGATTTTTTAAATATTTTAAAATAAGTCTCTTCTGCTCATCAAGGCTGCATTTATTTGATTAAAAATACAGTAAAAACACTAATATTGTTTTCTATGTGAATATATTTTAAAATGTAATTTATTTCTGTGATCAAAGCTGAATTTTCAGCATCATTACTCCAGTCTTCAGTGTCACATGATCCTTCAGAAATCATTCTAATATGCTGATTTGCTGCTCAAGAAACCATGATACATTTTTTCAGGATTATTTGATGAATAGAACATTTAAAAACAGCATTTATTTGAATAATACATCTTTGTAACTTTATAAGTGTATTTACTGTCACTTTTGATCAATTTAATGCATCCTTGCTGAATAAAAGTATTAATTTATTTGAAAAAAATAAATCATTCTAACCCCAGACTTTTGAACGGTACTGTATTTTTCCTCATACTTATACTGTGAAGAAGGTCCATGAAACAAGCACAACTCAAAATAACACAAAACAACATTCAATTTTTCTTCGTTTATTAAAATGTCTTAATTTCCACTGGAAAAATTAGGTACAAAGACCAACTTACTCAAGATTGTAAAATTAGTTATTATATATAATAACAAAATATATTATAGTAATATGGAAAAAACAGTTGGTATGTACAACGCATTGATATCTTTGCCCATAAAGCTAATTTGTACACCGAAACATATTCGAAATGGTTAGCTAGCGGCATTTTTTCCCACAATACAGAGTTGCTCTCTAGCCATCAATGAGTGTGTAATAGATAGTGTTGCAAGCTCTAAAAATACGCATGCTGTCTGTTCAGTTTCCTGTGAGGCCTAAAGCCCTAGAAGTGCAACATCACTCTAATGCAGCATCCTGAGAAATAACCTCAACTACAACCATGCAAATTTATGATCTTTGCTCACCGACGCTATAAATCAAACGCAAGTGCTTAGCATGCACTGACATCATCCAGAAAAACGCTCCAAGCTCGCAAATCTACCGCTACTTGTGTAATTTGGTTTGCTGCAGGTGCTCTACGTAAATATACGGCTTTCGTTAAATAAATTAGGTGATCTGCAAATATTTCCCTTAGAAGGCCAGGCCTTACGGCCAGTTGAGATTGAATCACTCAGCTCCCACAAACTTGCAAAAAGCATCAACATGCCGCTAAGTGTTTTTAATCACCGAGTGCTAGTGTGTGATGTAGGAGGGACAACATGAGGACTGGGTCCCTCTTCCTCTGTGTCTTTTGCTCTACGGCAGCTATGCTTCCAGTTCAAAACCCAGTCCTACTTTGTGTCCGCCGGTGTTGAAGTTTTTTCCGTCGATCAAGGCCGAGAGAGTGAGTTTCACCCCTTTACAATGGGAAAAGAGGAAAATAAGACATTAAAATATACACAAAGAGGTTAATAAACACCCTAAACAAATAAAACATTGGTCACAAGATGACTGGAATGAAATACTAGTGTATTACATATTGTGAAGTATATACCGTGTACTATTTAAGTTTTGAAATAGTATTTTGTACTTTTTTTGGCAAATTGTATGCAGAGAACACCTTTTAACAGTAGTATGCGACATTGCTGTCACATAATCTCGTGTTGCATGTTTAAATTAGTGAAATAAATTTTTTTAATAAAAATACATTGTAATCAATTTTAATTATATATTTTTTTAAAAAGTAGTTCACCCCAAAATGAAAATTTTACTCACGTTTATGAGACATTTACTCACCCTCAGGCCATCCATGATTAGGATGAGTTTGTTTCTTCGTCAGATTTGGAGAAATGTAGCATTGCATCAGTGTCTCAGCAATGGATGCTCTGCCGTGAATGGGTGCCGTCAGAATGAGAGTCCAAACAGCTGATAAAAACATCACAATAATCCACAAGTAATCCACACCACGTTAAGACATTTTTACTTTCAAATCATCAATTCTAGCAAGATTATTTGCCACAATCCATAATAACGCTTCCTCCAGTGATAAAGTCTATCTTCTGTTCTCCTCTCACATCAAAATCCACCCACATATTTGTTTAGAGCTGTTTCAGACCATTTTTGCTTGTAAACAGTGCTTGATCTGTGCATATGTCTCTCCTGATTCAGATGAGATGACTTTTTCACTGAAAAAAAAAAACATTATTATGGGCTCATATTTTAGCAATCATTTGAAGTTAAAACATCTTAATAATAGATTTATTTCTTATAGACACGCATCTCAAGACGTTAATTGATAGACTGGAGTGGTGTGGATTACTGTGATGTTTTTATCAGCTGTTTGGACTCTCATTCTGACGGCACCCATTCACTGCAGAGGATCCACTGGTGAGCAAGTGATGCAATGCTACATTTCTCCAAATCGGTTCCCATGAAGAAACAAACTCATCTACATTTTAGATGGGCCGAGGGTGAGAAAAGTTTTTGTTCCCTTAATAATGTCTCAACTTGAAAAAAAAATAATGAATCAAAAATGTTAAAAATCACTCTTGGTTCATTCTTCACACTGCACATGAAATGCATTGCACAGTGGGACAAAGTACTCCCTGCAGTACTCTGGTTGTACATTGAACATTTTGGCAAATGTCATCTGGTTATTCGGTGCATACAGAAAATTCACGAACTGTGAAGTTTACATTCTGCATACTGTAGAAAATGTAGAAGTTTTCCCTAGTAAAAAAAATGCCATCATTTAATTTTTTGAGCGGCATGACTTGAGGGTAAGTAATTTATGGGCTAATTTTCATTTTTAGGTGAACTAACCCTTTAATATTAAGCCTAAAATGTGTTTTAATATCACTATTAATAATCTTTAATTGCAAGATATTTAAAGTGTACCTGGTGTATACTTGCAATAGTTCCACTTTAGCACAATCAGTATATCTTTAGTTGGACTTCAGCACTACTTCTGCACAATTAAAGTGCATTAAGTACAAAATTAGCTGTTCCAATTTAGCAGACTCTAGCTTTAAGTGTACCAGTTTAGGTAATTGCAGGGTGTTTTTATTAAGCAAATAAATATGTAAATATATTTGTAGTATACTTAACACAAAATAGATGTATTATAGTATATTTTTTCACTAGGGTTGTGCTGTTCATATCATAAACAATCATTTTAACATGATTACCAGGTCGAAGACTCTGAGTGTAACCAACTCCAATCAGACTGGCATTGTTCACTTTGGCCTGTTATGAGGAAATAATGAAAAAATAAAACATGCTCAGGTTGGTCATTCCAAGCTTTGAATATTTAATATAACTTCCCTGTGAGCTTTTCAAGGGCAGATTTAGACCTGAAACAATTCTCGAAAAACATGGACGCAGATGCTTCTAGTTACACAAACCTTGATTTCACGTGGTGTTGTGAAATGTGTCAGAACTCGAATTATGTGTCAGAAAACACGTCTGCATTTGCATTATCAGCATTGCTGTCATGTACAACAGAACCACAAGCTTGCAATGCATTAGCCGAGAATTTGCATGTGTGATTGCGTACTTGCAAAGACTATGTTTTTTTGGTTTAACTGAATCCAAATGAAGTGAATTATCCTTTTCTCAACAACATAATGTGGTTGTGTGAAGATTGTTCATTTACAGACACCGAAGCATCTTTATCCAGCTGGTACTTTTGCAGCAACTCCAAAGCGTGTGTTGTTGCTGCCTGAAGTCCAGGCCAAAGTGACGGCCATCTCCAGCTGATCACTGACCTTCTGATAGACAGATCCTCCGAACTCTGCGCCGTCATTACTGATGACAGATTTATTCAAACACCCATTACATATTGAAGAAAAGGTTCAGTAAAAAATCTAGAATAAATAATACAGTGCTTACATATATTTAATAAAACGCTCTCTCTGGGGTTTTTTCTTTCTGGCTAACTAACAAGTTTACAGTCACTGTATGACTTGCCTGAGGTAAATGTAACATTATGTGACGATGTTTAGTAGCTGTTTCATTGACGTCTTTCTGTGGTTGAAACACTGATTGAGTGATTTCGTGAGATGTTTCTTTTAACGTAGTTTCTGATGATCTTGTGCTGTCACTGAGCTGAAAACTCAGTTTCATATCAAAAGTGACAAAGCACAAAGTTATTACTGGAGGGGAAAACAGCATAGACTAAAAGATCGCTTCTTGCGATTTAAGAATTTATATCGGTTTCAATAAAATGAGAATTTATTAAAATATCAGCAGGGTCGTAGCTAGCTAAATCAAAATATTTCATATTTAAAAACATAAAAAAGGTAATTGCGAGCTTATATTCTGAGAAATAAGTCTGAGAACTGCGAGATATAAACTCAAAATTGCAAGATATAAATGTACATCAAATTCAAACTTTATTCCTCGCAGTTCTAATTTTTTGTTTCTGCCACAGAATAAAAAAATGTAAAGTAATTGCGACTTTTTTCTCACAATTGTGAGCTTTTAAATCACAATTCTGACTTAATATCTTCCAAAAAAGGAAAAAAGTCCGAATTGTGAGATATAAACTCAGAATTGCAAGAAAAAAAAAGTCAGAATTGTGAAATAAAAAGTCGCAACTTCCTTTTTTATTTTTTTATCCCGCGGCAGAATCAAGCTTCCATAGCAATTTCTACAATATCAACTTAAAATCCTCTGATCGTGTGGTTTTTCATTGATTCTTACACGTTGGTGTGAAGCTGGAAGTCTCCGGCCTTGTATCCCAGAGCAAAGTTATTTTGCACAAGTTTGGATTTGGCCGTGTCAAAGGCCATCTGGTAGCCCACAAGCCAGCCTTCGTATCCCAGAACCGCTGCAGAGTGCACAACCGGACCCTCGAAATCAATGTCGCAGCTCACATTGACGAAGTCACGCATGTAGCCAGTCTTCAAAAACAGACTGTCAAAGACACCAAACCAAATCATCAAACCAGCATTAATGCGTCAGATATGTAACGAATC